GTAATCCCTTTCTCTGAAAATAAATGTTGGATAGCTATTTAGATCAAAAACCAATTCACCTTTTTTTGCCTTGAATTTTTGCAGATGAGGGCAGTCTTTCCATCTGGACAGGTGGAGCCACCTCTTGCCTTCGACCACATAAAACTCTGTCAGAGTTTGTTTCAGAAAAATCAAATCCAGAAAGCACACACAGATAACTGATTCAGCCAGATTCATTAACTTTTTTATATACATAATAACAGATGAATAAATGTACAATACCAATAGTAGATTCTTTCAACGTGGTAGAAGTTACAAGCAGAACACTAGCAGGAGAGAACAGTTGATTTCATTTCAGAGCAGACAGAGTAGTTTCAGTTTCGATTCTCAGCACAGACTCAGATTTGTTTAAGCTCCCATTGGCTGATTTTGTTGCTATGCCTACTCATTGGCTGACCTGGTTACCATGTCTCTGCCAGTCATGAATATTCTAACAAATCCTCCCCCCTTGCTATTTGAGGGCTTTTCTTTAAATGTTACTTCACAGATTATTAATTGCTTTTACTCCTGTCTGGAAAGGGTCTTCGACAGGGCAACCCATTGAGTTTTTCCAATTGAGCAGTATATACAAATAAAATGAATAAATTAATTAATAAAGATAAATAATTCCTGGCAATGAGAGAAATTTCTAAGGCTCATATGGTCCACAGTTTTACTTCTATATAAACATTATTTTCAACAAATGTTCTAGAAATATTTATCTCTTAAACCCACATCAGATGGGGAATTCTGGGAGTTGAAGTCAAAGCAACATAAAATTGCCAAGATTGGAGAACAAACACTGCCATAAAGTATTTATTGCATTTTCTGGAATATCAAGAATTAGCATTTCCAAAACCTGCCAGCAAACCACCAAAATATGAATGTATAATTATTTCCGTCATTTTGGCACAAAAAAGCCAGGCAGGCAAACCATAGCTTGACATATTTAAATAAGTTTCTTCCTCCTCCTTTGCAAAAAATATTTGACAGCACCCAAGAATCTATCTTGCAAATATATTACAAGAAAAACTGCAGTGGGAGAAATGCAGCATAGGGAAAAGGTGCCTGGGCTGGGGGCTGGAGGTGGGTGATGAGCAGGAGGGGCTGCTGGGATCAGCCAGATGGAAGTGGGCTGCTGCTGACTTTGCTACTGGCAGGCCTGAGTCTCCCTACTGTAGAAAATAGTCTGCCCCAGCTGTGTGTTTAGATCAGTGTATCTCAACCTCATCAGCTTTAAGACATCTGGATTTCAACTCCCAGAATTCTGCAGCTGGCCTTAAAGTTGCTGACGTTGAGAAGCAGAGGTTATGTTGGTGGCCTTTGAGGGTTGCCACCTTAGAGACAATGCCAACAGCAATAGTCTATATGGCCCGTCATTCAAACAGATGGACAGACTGAGGGAGTTCAACCCCCACCCACCCCGCCCAAGGCAGGAGTCTTTATCCCATCCAGGACAAGTAAATGTCCAACCTTTTCTTGAAAACCTCCACTGATGGAGCACCCACAATTACAGAAGGCAAGCTGTTCCATTGGTTAATTGCTTTCATTGTCAGGAAATTCCTCCTTAGTTCCAGGTTAGATCTCTCTTTAATGAACTTCAACCCATTGCTTCTTGTCCTGTCTTCTGATGCTTTGGAGAATAAGTCAACCCTCATTTCAATCACCACCTGTCAAGTTTTAGAAGACTACTATCATATCACCCTAATCCTTCTCTCCGTTAGGCTAGTCATACCTAGTTCCCTTGGCCATTCATCCTACGGTTGAGATATAAGGACTCTTGCCTTGGGTAGGGGTTTGGACTAGAACTCCTCCCACGTCTCTTCCAGTCCTATGATTCTATGATAGGTGGACAGAGGGAATGAGCCCTTTTCTACAACTCATGATCACCTCCAAAGTCCTATACCAGAATTTCTTAAATGATAATATCTGGAGCTTATTGAAGTGGTTATGATCAAAAGGAACATACAATCAGATACTATTTTTGTGTGTGTTTTATTTCTCCCCTAAATTGGATTGTGAGGAGATCCTTCAATTTACATCCCTTCATTCTTCATTAAAAGAACCCTTTAGATCTGTTCTTCATTCCTTCCATACCTCTCCAGACTCTGCCTGAAGCTTTTCACCTGCTCACTGGAGGAAATCATGAAGATCACCAAGACCTCTCCATGCCCCACAAGCCTCCAATGGACCATCCACAGTTCCAGTCATTGTAATGCATGAAAAAGGAGTCCTTTCCCTGTGGGTCTCTTCCTCCCTCAAATGCACAAGCAGGCCTAATTATTGAAAGAGGCAGGAAAGCAGAAGTGGACTGGGAAATTTGAAATATAAGATGTATTATTGGGGCTGGAAAAGCAAGCAGCCAACAATTAACCGTGACCCGTCAAAACCGCGGTCCACTAAAGCGCNATCGGCATCTTCATATCTGGTCACATGGGCAGCAAGCCACTCCCATCCGGTCACATGGGCAGCAAGCCACTCCCACAAAGGAGGCCACACCCACATAGTAGGTTCGAACAATTTTTGAACCCCACCACTGTTTCACAGCCTCAGTTACCAAGAGCTCGGTATATCTTTGCATTTGAGTTTTGTTTTCTCCGTGAAGAACTTCTCTCTCCCTCCCTCTCCTTCCCCCAGCACACTGTGCACTCCTACACACAATCATTCTCCACATATTGTGTCCTCTACAGAGTTTTCCATTCTGTTCTTAGACTCAGCTAAGTAAAGCAAGGATAATTTTTATCTTGTAACCAGGAGCTTCACATTTTAGCTATGCACTGGATTTCACCCCAGTTTCCATCATCACCCATCCTGCATGGCTACAATGCCTGGTGGTAATGACTTATTTGGAAGACACTGGTACTAATCTCCTGCTGGTGGGAGGAGGCATCGGATTGGCTGACTTTGGGAAAGAGAATATTGGACTCCCATCAAGTTCTCGACTGACCAGCAGAGATTTCCTTCTTTTTAATGAGACAGCCAAACCGACTCTTGCGTCCCACAGCTGTGCAAACATGTTCCTCTCTCTACAATGTCTGTTTCGTCCCAGTCTGTATTCTATGGCTGGAAGTCCTAAGCACAGAAAGGAAATCAGGACAGCCCAGCTTTGCTTCTCCCCTTGGCCTCCTTGTGTGGCAGGGGAAGGTCAGAAAGGAGCCTGCAGCTATATTTGACTTGACGTAGCATTGACTTGGTCAAGAATCCTGACTGCACGAAGCTCCTAAATCTCGCTGGTCCATTGGCTCCTTGGCTAGAGCCGCTTCCGTGTGGAAGCTCTGCTAGTGGCAGCAATTATCCAAAGCAAAACTCTAGCTCAGACAGCAAGTGACAAGAGACAGGATTGGATCTGCTGGGCTTCAACACAGCCGCATAAGGAATGGACTGGACTTGACTGGACTGGACTGGACTGGANTTAGTCCTGCAGATGTAAGTTTCTAAGTCACTGATTTCAGATAGGTGGGTATACAAATTGAATAAAACAAAGAAGTTGGATTTTATGCTTTCTAAGGCAGTGTTTCTGAACCTTAGAAGATGTGAGAACTGCAGCATGGCTGCTGGCTGGTGAATTCTAGCAGCTGAGCTCCACACCTCTTCAAGTGGCCAAGGTTGAGAAATCCTGCTCTAAAGAGTGAAATTCTGAGAAGCCCATTCCTAAATAACTCAGGAGGGAAAAATTCCTAGGTAGGAATATTAGAGCAGATTGCCCAATTTTCTTCAATCCAGAACATCTCTATTAATGAGGGCGTAGGCCATCCGTTGCCAATTCTATAAACCTTATGGCCCAGTCCATAATCCATTGAGAGGTGCCACAAAGTGAATATAGTAACAAATGGGGAGCGAAATAAAAATAGACCTACACCCTGTTAATTGATCCCTTGAAATAATGCATCTCTAGATCCTAAGCATGACGCATATGCTTAAAATGTAAATGCAACTCAGTCTAATTGTTACTGTGGCAGTGACAGTGCAGCGTCTTTAAAACCCTGAATCTGTGAAATTGCTGCACCAGGAGAAAAAAGGCCAACCCTGAAATCAGCTTGGTGGCAAGCAAAACACAATCATTTGTCCACGTGGAAGCTCCTTCCCTCCCTAAGTCACAATTTGCTGTGTTCCAGCCTTCAAATTCTGTTCAGCCTGGGGAAAAATGAGGAGTCGTTTCAAATCATTCACACAAATACAAACAGCAGACCTCCAAAAGACAATTTTCCACTCCTTTTGTCTAAAGTCTCAGAAGACTGTTTTTGCTCCTGGAATTGAAACTGAGCACAAAAAGATGTCAAAACAGAAAGAGAGAGAGGGAGGGAGGGAGGGAGGAGAGGAGAGGAAAAGAAAAGAAAAGAAAAAAGAAAAGACAGAAAGTTCTGCTTTCAGCCAGAACACCCCGCCTGCCCAGCCCTGGCTATACAATTGTGTTTAAATTTACAGGAACACGGCCAATAAGTTGAAATTTCACCCTCTCCCGTCTCCCCCCTCCTCTGTAACTTAATACGCTGCCTTCAGCTGTGCATCAAACCCATATGTGGGGGCTAAGCTGCCTCTTTAAAAAAAGAAATCATGAGACCCCGAGAAGGTGGTTCCAGCAAACTTTATTAACCAAACCTCTAAAAGGCTCCAGTGAGGACCAGGCTCTGAATGAGCAGAAGCCTTTTTAAAGCTCCATTAACAGTGTCTTCCTTTCCCTCCTTCGCCAAAGAAAGTATCAAAAGCAACAAATTGAAATATTGCAAAGAGGATCCAGCTGCCAAACGCCAAAGCTGCCATACAAGAAAGAGAAGCGGCTTCCTCTTTCCCCTTTCTGCCTTTTGCAAAAAAAAAAAAAAAAAGGAGCATCCTCATTCAAGCCTTGCGGAGAGGCATCTGTCACGGAACAAATAACAGAGCGAGCCAGCCCACCTTCCAACTGCCAGCTCCATCACCTTCTCCCTCCCAGCCAGGTCTTCGTGGCGAGATCCATGGGAGGCTCCAGAGACTAAGAGGCTTACCTGTCAGGAGGCTGAGAGCCCAGGCCACCACCACCCCTCGGCAGGCCTCCATGGGGCACCCAGAGACGTCTGGTGCTGCCTGCTCAGACCATGCACGGAAGGCTCCAAAGCCAAACAGAGGTCCAACTCGGTGAAAAGCAGCCTGCTTATCCCACAAGTCTCTTCCCACTCCTGACAGAAGCAGCAGCTCTCGAAAGGAAGTGGGAGGGACGGGGCTGTAGGAGGTGCAGGAGCAGAGGAGCGGAGTGGGATGTGGTGGCCGGGAGCAGAGGCTCAGCAGCACCCGGACCGTGCCAGCAGCAGGGATTCCCCCAGCCTTGGCTGTCAGAAGCGGCAGGCTTTTGCCTGGAAAGCACTCCAGCGAGGACTCATCTGCAATGGCCAAACAAACTTTTCCTCCTAGGCAGTACTTGCAATCTTGAGGTGCCAAGAAGGAGACCACAAAAACATGGAGTATCGTATTATGTGGCTGGGGGCGAGAGGGAGCACTTACTCCGAAAAACTGGAAGTGAACCTGCCAAATTTGCACTGCTTTGTTCAAGCAAGTCAGTATTTGATTCCTTGAAAATGGTCACAGTGAAGATTTCAAAATGAATTTTTAGATTTAGGCAGTGGGTTAAAAAGCCTGTTTGGCAGTCATCTATTTTCAGTCAGCAGGTTCAAGCTGAGTTATCCACTTTGTCTCTTTGCTGAGTTACAAATTTGTAGCAAATCTGCCACATTTTCTACATTGTTTTTATTTCCACAAAAGTTTGGCCAATTCCAAAAAAAGCATCTTTCTACTACAAACCATTATTTCACCAGTTGCTGCGGAACCCAAATATTCTGCAGTCCTGCAACAAAATTATTTAAAAATTCCATCAAAAAGATCAGATCCTTTCTTAGGGTGACTGAGCAAAATCTTAACTAACAGCTATACTACTATACAAGGGGGGTGGGGAATCACTAATGGGTGAACAAAAAAACAAGATGCATCGTGAATACAAATGCATGCAATCCAATACTAAAATATTACAAAAGAAACTCTAAAAGACCTAATTGCTAAATTATTAAATATTTAAAATACTAAAATGCTAGAATACTGAAATTCTCCCTCAAAAAGCCGTTGTGTCACGGAAGCATCTGAGAATGCTCATTGACTTCCAGGCAATGTGTAGTGTTCAAGGTGTTGGACTAACAATGGGGAGCCCAAAGTTCAAGCTGACCCTAACTTAGGAAAACTCCTTGGGTGACTTTAGGCCAGTCTCTCAGCCACAGGGCTGTTGTGGGAAAAATGTTGGAGGAAGACACATGCCTTCATCAACGGAGGAAGAAATATGAGGTGTTGTAGTCCAAGGCCACGAGCTCGCCTGATCTTTTTTACTTTGCATTATCATAGTCATCATTATCTTTATCTTCCAGGATATTCTGCTTAGTTTGTGCAACAAATTGTGAAGTTTGCCAAATTGTGAAGTTTGCAAGATGTACAGTTTGCCAAGTTTGTCAAAAACACATCATGCCAAATAAATTTTATTTCATACTTTGACAAAGTGACTAATTAGTGGATCAGTGAAATGCTGTGGACATAGTATACTTAGATTTCAGTAAAGCATTTGATAAAGTAGACCACAACCTACTTCTGGGTAAGCTACAAGAATGTGGGTTAGATAGCACCACCACCAGATGGGTTTGTAACTGGCTTACAAATCGTACCCACCTCAGCATAACTACATCCACATGGAGGGAGGTAAGCAGTGGGGTACCCCAAGGTTTGATCTAGACAAGGTAATAGAAGGGGAATTCTTCAAATTTGCAGACAACACTAAGCTGGCAGGAATAGCCCATACCCCCAGAAGATAAGATTTTGACAGACTTGAACCTGGGGCCTTATCTAACAAAATGAAATTCACTGCTGATAAAAGTAAGGTTTTATATTTAGGCAAGAAAAACCAAATTTATAGGGACAGACTAGGTGACACTTGGCTTAATGCCAGTAACCACGAGAGGGATCTTGGCATCCTAGTGGACAATCACTTTATATAAGAGCCACAAGTTGGTGTGGCAGCAGCCAAAATGCAATCCTAGGTAGCATTAATAGATGGATAGAATCAAGATCATGTGAAGTTCTAGTAGCTCTTTAGAAAGTCTTAGTAAGACCACACTTGGAATGCTGCATCCAGTTCTGGTCACCACAATATTAAAAAGATGTCGAGACTCTAGAACAAGTGCAGAAAAGAGCAATAAGAATGATTATAGGTACAGTGGTGGGATTCAATTTTTTTTTACTACCGGTTCTGTGGATGTGGCTGGGTAGGCGTAGCGTGGCTTGGTAGGCATGGCAGGGGAAGGATACTGCAAAATCCCCATTTCCTCCCTATCAGCTGGGACTCGGGAGGCCGAGAATAGATGGGGGTGGGGCCAGTTAGAGGTGGTATTTACCGATTCTCCAAACTACTCAAAATTTCCACTATAGGTTCTCCAGAACTGGTCAGAATCTGCCAAATGCCACCTCTGATTAGGGGGTTGGAGGTTAAAACATATGAAGAATGGCTACAGGAATTGGGTATAGCAGTCTTCCAATATTTGAGGGACTTCTACAAAGACGAGGGAGTCAAACTATTTTCCAAAGCACCAAAAGTCAAGACAAAAAGCAATGGATTGAAACTAACCAAGGAGAAAAGTAACCTGGAATTAAGGAGAAATGTCCTCATGATCAACTAATGATATAGCTTGCCTTGTGGGTCCTCCATTAACTGGAGGCTTTCAAAAAGATATCGGACAACCACTTGTAAAAAATGGTATAGGGTCTGCTGCTTGAGCAGGGGGTTGGACTAGAAGACTTCCAAGGTACTTTCCAATGTGTTCCATGTTCTATCTCAGTGTTTCCCAACCTTGGCAACTTGAAGATGTCCGGACTTCAACTCCCAGAATTCCCCAGCCAGCATTCGCTGGATGGGGAATTCTGGGAGTTGAAGTCTGGACATCTTCAAGTTGCCAAGGTTGGGAAACACTGTTCTATCTCCCTTTTTCTGAACAAGATGGAATTAGTTTTGTTTGATCTGACTCAGTGTTGACTCCTGTCAACCCTGCAATTTTCTTGGCAACATTTTCCAGTGGTTTTGCCTTTGCCTCCTAGGGAGGGACTGCTCTGCTGTCACCCAGAGAAGGAGAGGAAAAAGTACACGGGGTGAACTTGCACTGTTAGGAAATTTAAAAATTCAACCTCTTTAATTTTTTATTACGTGACCTGAAGATCATACAAGTAACTGCATTCCAGCAACAGCGGATATGCCTTTCCAACTGAAAGCCTATTGGGAAGAAAGTTTTGGATCTGGTATCTGGTTTCATTACAGACCAATCCATGGGTTCCTTGCCCTTTGGAGCTGTGATCCGTGTCTACAAACAAGCCACTTCTCCCAGATGGTCAGCTGTTTTTTCTTGAGGAGCTTAGCAGTGAAATTGCTGCAAGCTCATAATTTTGACCTTTTTTTTCTGGGTTAGCTGAAGATGATGATCTTAGACAAGGGATTTCTGGACCAAACTTAATATTTGTTCCATTTTTAGGCTGATTGACTGATCTTTTTGGGAGCTGAAACAGATGCACGTACCCTTGCATACTCTGGACAAATGGCTGTCCAATCTCTTCATAACAACCTCCATTGATGGAGCACTCTCAATTTCTAAAGGCAAGCCATTGCATTGATTAATCGTTCTCACTGACAGGGAATTTCTTCTTAATTCTAGGTTGGATCCCTCTTTGATAAACTTCCATCTGTTCCATACTTCCTGTCCTGCCTTCAGGTGCTTTGGAGAATAATCTGAGCCCCTCTTCTCTGTGGCAGCCCCTCAAATGTTGGAAAAATGGTATCATGTCACCCCTAGTCCTTCTCTTTGTCAGAGAAAGGTTGAAAGGTTGTCAGAGAAAGGTTGAAACATACAGTTTCAACATACAGTTTTGCATCCAATCCTCAAATCATCTTTGTTGCTCTTCATTGCACTTTTTCTAGAATTTCAACATCTTCTTTGTGGTGATCAGAACTGGACACAGCATTCCAACTGTGGTCTTACCAGTGCAGTATAAAGCAATACTAACACTTCACATGATCTAGACAGAATCCTTCTGTTGATGCATTCTAGAATTGCATTGGCCTTTGGGGCATCTGCAGCACACTGCTGGTTCATACTTCAATGGCTGTCCACCAGGACTCCTAGATCCACAGTCTCTGCTATTGAATTGAATTGAATTGAATTTTATTATTTATATGCCGCCCTTCTCCGGGAGGACTCAGGGCGGCGAACAATTCAAAAGGGGAAAAAGGGGAACATAAAACGAATACAGATAATTAAAATAAGCAAGAGTCACACAACCATACAAGTCGAGAGGGGAGGGGAACTCATCACCCCCAGGCCTGCTGGCAAAGCCAGGTTTGACGGCTTTTC